GCGATCGCAAGATGTCGAAGCTGTTCGTGTTCATTTGCAAACTATAGAACGTCTTAAAGAACGACGTACAGCAATGCAGCATTATCTGCGTGCTTATGACGAAGGATTAAAGGCACTCAGTGGTTAGTTTTATCACATTTTTTCCTTGTCTTATTTAAAAAGTCCATTCGTCTTTCAGAATCATTATTATTGCCACCGTTGAGCATAATATATCAGATGTTCCACGTTCCATTGTGATTTCAAATGACTTTCTATTTTTCAATTATTGATGGCTTAGAATTTCAGTGCTAATTGTTTCTGAGTAACATCTTTTTGTACTGATTTTTCAGGAAGAAATGCATTAACCTCTACTCCGTCATCTGGGGTAATAGTGAGGGGTATATGTGATGAGCGTACAACTGTTGGTGTGGGTCCTGTTAGCAAAGGTGCAATGAAAGAGTTTCCTCCATCAGTAACTAGGATTGGAGTTACTCCATCTTCATCACAGGCTGTATCTGGTCAGAGTCTGATCGGTATAAAACGAACTTTGAATGATTCTGCGCTTGCAACAGCAGTTGAAGGACGAGTATGCGTTTACTTGTTCAGAACATTACATTTCATTTTAAATACATTTGGACTCAATTTAAGATTTATTCTGATGTGCTGACAAATTCTCCTACGAATGGCCTGTTCCTTTTAGCTTTTCAAAACTGATTATTTGAGAAATATTAAGCAAACGTGAACTGTTGAGGAGAAATAATTTGAATCCAAATGAATGTTGCTTTCCAAATTTTTGAAATTTTCTTTTGATCGCTTATGAAGTCAATATTTACCGTCTTGCTGTAATATTAATAAAATATGAATAATATATTTCGTTATCTTCAAAAAAAGGAAAAAAAAAACTAAACCTGCTGAAGTTTTGCCGACGGTTTGTTTTACAGCTTCCTAGACAGAGTACGTCAAACGATTCAGCTGCGCTTGAAGAATGCACAAAAAATCGAAGTTCACGTATTGATCCTCTCTCTCGAAAGGGTTAGTATTTCGTAAGAAAACTAGTTCTTACAGAATAAGTTTTTCACGTTTTATTTCGTTAATTTTAATAAAGTTTTTGTTATCAGGTGGTGGAAGTATCGACGATTAAAACAATAGTAGGATGCAGTGGAACTTATAATAACTATAAATAACTCAAAATATATTCTTTGTTATAGGATTGGACAGCACAATGTTTGATTCAGGGCAAACATCACATCTTTTGCGTCAACACGGCCATAATATATCGTTCGACGAAGAATTTAATCGCGCCGAGCATAGGAATATGCAGAATAGCTGTGAAATTAAACGTAAATCAGGTATTTTTGTTCTCAAATTTTCTTGGATGGGAAAGCGCCAACGATTAGTCTAGTATTTTTCAGTTCAGTTTTTTGGATGTGAATTTTTAATTATGAATTTCAAATAAGCAATAATGGGTTGATTTTGTGATTTTAATTCATTTAGGAAAATTTCTCCATCAACCAATTTTTAGGTATTCATACGGTATATCTTCCGTCTGTGTCCGATGTCCACCATGCGCCAAGTGTGAAAACATCTGCAGGAAGTCAGAAGCGTGTGGGGTCACCGACGATTACTGCAACTGCGCATTTTACTTGTACTACGCCTAACAACTCCGCACCTACGTCTCCATATTCGCAACCACTAACATCTTCAGTGGCATCGGTATCCATATCTCGAACATCTCCAGCTCAGCAACAGCAGCACTTTCCCCATTTTGTCCCCACTTTACCGCAACATCAAACTAGATTTTCGCCATTACAATCCACATCTGCTCCAGCCAGTGCAGCCATTTCTTCGCATGGACTTCCAGCCACTACCATTCTTGGACGTCCAGTCGTAAGCCCTGTAAGCAGTTATACTTCTGGAATGCATACTCCTGTTCCGACACTTGTTTCACCTCGAACACCCATTTCCATAAATCCAAATCTATCAAATTCACATTCAGCGCATGTTTCACCATGTAACTCATCAAGTTTACGCGCGCCAACACCTACCACTTCGTCGCCATTTCAGGTCTTTGATATTTTGTTAGTTAGAGGATGTTAATAATACTTTGTGAAAAGCTTCGAAAAGTTCATATGCTTAAAAAAAAGTTAATTTTTAGAAATCTCTAAAATTTGGTGCAAATAAGATGAGTGTGATGAATTTAGTAGAAGAGCTAGCAGTTAAAACCATTATAGATAGAGCATGCAAGTCACGCATACAAGTGAACAAATGAGGAAAGGGCTAGATAATATTCTAGAGTTAATTCAGGGCCAACTTACATAAGAATTTTTTAAGTTTTTAATGAGAGTCTTGTAACTTTTATAAATTAGTATATTATGCAGTTGTACTGAAATGGTTAATAATTGTTTTTGATTTTGGAAATCTTAAAAAAACTCCTTTTCCGACTAATTGATTGCAACGGATGCATAGCATAAACTTTTTCTTTAATATGACTTATTCTAGGATTTGTACTAGAGTTCTAGAATTTGGTGGCACAGTTAAGTTGTTTATCATGTTTAATTATTCGATCGTAAAGTATTTCCTTGTCCTGTTTTCGCTTCTGATTAGGTGTTAAACTTCGGTCCAGGAGATTAAAGGAGGTTTTGGTTTATTGAGTTTTCTGTGTTCTTATATCAGCTAGAACAGAGTGGTTTAATTTTTTTAAAGGATATTTTAAAAACATTTTGCACTGTTGCAGTTGTCGGTACTAGGGACCTTATCACCGAATGTATCGTCCCAGAGCATGTCCGGCACATCAACATTTCAAACATCAGCAGTTATTCCTGGGAATACTTTGAGTGCATCGGTTCCTTCACTGCTTGTAACAAACATGGAAGATATTAGTGACGGTGGCGCGAAAACAATAACGAATGTAGCTGAGGTACGATGTATTTCCCTTCCTAAAAGTATCAGCTATAGTGATTTTGTTCAGCTTAGGCAAGTATGTCGTCATTTTTGCAAGTTATGGTGGATAATTTTGTAATTTATGTGAATTTGTTTTTTTTTTTTTAATCACATTGCAAATTGTGTAGTAGTTATTACAGAACGAAGAAAAATCCACCTTCGTGGAAAACCAACAGCGTTCATCAGAACCTACTGCTGTTGCAAATTACGAACCGCTGTCACCTGATACATCCGATGTTGCACCTACATCCCAAACAGGTTCCTTTCATTTTTCTTTTCCGATTCAAGTTTAATCTTGGAGTAGGATATTTTAAATATTTTCTACATAACAGAAGAAGTGAAAGAAATCCTTATATAGGAGAATTAATTGAAATTTTCATTTAAACGCAGATTTGAGGCACAACTTCTAAATTTGCATGTAAATCATAACAAATGTTTTCAATGGATTTCAGGTACTTCTACTGATCAGGCCACAAATTTGCCTCTTTTTTCATTTCTGAATTTGCCGGATAGTGGAAATGGTACATTAAGTGCTCCAACAATTCGACCAGTTATTTCTCCAGATGATTCCTCTTCAAATATGCGAAATATACCAACAGGAAATATTATTCCACCTCAGCTAACAACAACAACGGTTACGACGAGTGGGAACATAATGCTGCCTATTAAGCCACCACCGCAGCCGACTTATGAACCACTTTCTGATGATGATGATTAATATTTTTTAGAGCACTTATCTATTTATTTAGTTCGTTTTGTCAATTTTTTCTCAACGCTTTAATATAATAGCTTAGCAAGATAGGATTTAATCTTTCTGCTTCTTTCTGCCATTAACAATAATATTTTGAGTGAAAGAAGTTGTGCAAATTTGCAGAACTGTCCTCTTCAAGAAAAAGCTTTGGTTCTCTTGTTTTCGTTTGTTTGTTTGTTTTAATGAAAAATTGATGAATTTTTGAATTTCATTTTTTTGACTAAATTTTAATTTGATGCATGTTAGTAAGATTTAAATTTCGGTGTATTTCCATGTCTTTCTTCGTATTTGCCCAATTGTTTAATCTCCATTGTTTCGATTTCTGTTTTCTTTTATGTTTTTTTCTATTCGTAGTAGCTTGCCCAATTATTTACTTTACAAACTTTGTTTTTTGTTTTTTTTATGGAATACTATATTTAAAGAGAATTTGTAGAATAAAAAAGAACAAGCTCATAAAATGGCTAATCCTGAAAAAAAAAAAAAAAACTTCTCTAGGAAAAGAATAGGTATTAATAGCACTCGTTGGTGCTATAAGTGATAAAGAACTTCAACTTTATCATTGTGTTGTGGGAATTCTGCGGCTGTTTGGTTTGTGTTCTTCTCTTGTCTCTTTAATTCCAAAATCGCACTGTTTCAAAGTTTTTTATAGTAATTTTGCATAAAAATTTGCGAAAAGTCATCACTCAAGTCTCAGTATATGGCAACTATCAGTCTTAAATTTCCAACTAAAAGAAAAATTCTGCGGTGCATATTCTGGAACTTAATTCATCGGTGGATCTATCACCAATTTGATCTTTTTCCCTCTTTTTTGTTGCTGAAATCCCCAAGGGAACTGGTACATCAATGGAATTTAGTATAACTCATTAGTGTTAATGAGAGAGAGAGGTCAGAGGAAAGAAAGTTTCAAAGCGTTCAAACTATCACTGATAATGGCAATTGAAGTATTGAATACTTGAATTATTGTCCAAATTAAATTTTCCATAATCTTAAGAATGATCTACGTTATTTTTTTTAAGCATTCAAAAAGTTATACGTTATTTTTAAGCATTCAAATATCACTAGGAATGGTAGTTGAGGCATTGCATGCTTGAATTATCATCTGAATTCTCGATACCTATCTTAGAAGCGATGAAATGTGTTGTGATAAGAAAAAAAGTAATGAGCAAAAATTATTTGATAGAGAATGATAAACTGATATGTATGAAGGACGGTTAAACGGAAGCGGTTTGATGACTGGTTGTGGGTTGTATTTCTTTGATAAACTGATTTATGGCTATGCAAAGTTATTTTTATGTAAAAAAGCGATAAAAAAAGGAAACTGAACTGACCATTAATTAATTACCACAAGGAATGTAACAATATGAAATGATTGAATGAGATAAGATGGAATTATTTCCGGCATAATTTGAATCCCCTTCTTTGTACCGGTTAAATTCGACAAATAAATTGATCCGTTAAATGATGAAAAAAATTGACGAGTTAAATCCTGAAATTTGAATTTCTTTCCTTGACTGAATTAATTTTAATTTATTTGAACAAAATGATGAATAACTAATGAAATGTATAAGTGAATTAGCAAAAACTATAATAGAGATAATATAAAAGTGACAATTTGTACTTATCCATTTGGATAAGTACAAATTGTGATAAGTACATTTGGATTATTAGTATAAATGATTCATGAAAAAAAAATGAAAAAAAATATAAATGAAAAAAAAAAAACACTAATATTTAAAAACATAACAATTTCATTAAAATAGGGAATTTCAAAAGAATTTTCATCAAATTAATATTCAGATGATTGTCAATCAGTAGATAATGTCTTCGATTATGTGTATATTTTTTTTTCAAATCAAAAAAATATAAATTTTCTTAAATTTTTTAAAATTAAAGTAATTCACTCATACCGTATTACTGTCGCTCTTACAATATAGCTTTACTGAACAATCATATGGTAACTGACGCATTGATAATAATATTGTTTTTCGTGCTATATATCGAATAGTGATAAGTTGAATGTTATCAGGTAAACGTGGCAAATCGATTAATACTGATGACATTTCTGGAATAGCAAGTGAAAATTCGAAAGTTTTATTAATATTTGTTACTAGATTTGTTATTTCAAAAATTATTTTTTTTCGTCAATTTATAGTTTTGAAAATAAGATTAGCTGAAATTTCATAAGCTATGTTATATTTTCATATTTGCTTTAAGAATTTAAATGAGGAAGTTTGTTGGTTCATTGGATCAGTCATAATTCCCGCTGAAGTTGTGTCGTCATTTAACAACAGTTTAATCCTTATTTCAAATACTTTTTTTTTTTGTTTTTTAAAAATTATATATTATGATAGTGAAGATTCATTACGATAATGATATGATAATGATAATGAATGATTTATTATCATTAAAGAATAAAATTGTTAAAAAAGAGTGAAATTTGATCATGATTTTATTAGAAAACATTCAATGGATAGTAAAAATTCTGAGCGAAAATTTAATTTGTGGAAAAAAGATAGATAATTAAATTTAGTTCAAACATTTGACTAATTACTAAGCATAATTATCGTACATACATATTATCCAATAGTTACTACAAAGAGCTATCAGCTTTAGTAGCATTAATATTGTTTAAGGTTAATGACGTGAAATGAATAATGAAACAAAAACCATTATTATCAGTTGAATTGATGCTTGATGATAAGAATAGAGCAGCGGGATAAAGTAATTCCTCCAATGTTTGTTGCACAAGTTGTGAATGATACATCGTATTCATTGGTGAACTTTTATTTTTTAGTTCATTTTTGTCAATTGTTTTCAAATCATCAAAATCTTTCATTTCTGATGTTTTTGGTTCAAAAATAATTCGATATCGCAGATGAGATGGATGACTCTAATAATCAAAAAAAAATTTAACTTACACATATACATTTAAAAAAAGTCACAAATGATACTATTAATTAAGTAAAATAATTTTTTCACCTCACTAGCTTCGTAATAATCCAAACCTTTCCCATCATCATTATACATTTCTCGGTCTACCATTAGAGTAACTAAACCCATTTTAGCAGTAACACCAGTTGATTGTGCTCCAAGAACAGTGCAACGAAGCTTATCATCTTCGATTACAGTCTCGGTTATCATTGGATAAATATTCGCTTCCAATTTCATCTTTCTATCATATCTATAAAACAAACATAACAATTCCATTACAAATATTAATTAACAATAATAGTATATATGTATGCGTTCATTACTAGAATACCGATACAACTTCGATTGAAAAGTTTTAAAAGTTGAAAAACCGATTAAAAATTTAAAAAAGAAAAAGAAGAAAACTGCAAAAATTTGCTAACCTTCGCTGTATTAAATACATTCCATTTACATCAGTGTAAAAATGATCAAAATTGTTAATATTACTGTTTAAATTCATGAAGTATGTATACCCAGGTGATAAAGTAACATTTGTAAACAAATCAATTTGAATTGAACGAGCATTATCATCTGTTGAGTTAATAATGGTAAAACTATATGCTAATTGTGATGATAATTGCTGTGTTATACTTGAATAAATTGGACCTTGAATAATGGTTGGTGATAATCGATTTTTATCAGTGATATTCTATAACATATTATAAAAAATGTTCGAGAAATTATTATCATGTTTTCAATTTTAACAAAAAAACAATAAATAAACAAATACATTAGAAAAATTATTGCCAAACGAATTTGTAACAGCAAATAAATTATTATTCATAGTAAGTTGATAATTAATTTAGATAAATGAAATGGAAATAGCATATATGATGAATGTAAAGTAATACCAAATTATTAAAGACAAGAAAAAACCTCAAGTGATAATCCTGCTGATACCATGGTATATGCACCACCATAATCGTTAATTCGATTAAAATACAAAGCAAAATTTGTTTCCATACTTCCGTCATTGTAAACTAACTAAATGATTAATTATTTACAAATAAATTTTATCTCTTTGAAATCATTTTATGCTTTTTTAACTGCTAATATCAATAATATCGTTAAATAAAATTATTGAACATTTATTTGATCCTGAAATTATTTGATTCATTTCAATACTTAATGGGAAATTTGATAAAGAAATAAATTAGCTTGTTGCAAGTTGCAAAAAATAAAAAACAAAAAGTTTGCTCTACAAAAATGGATAAATTCATTTTTTCATTTCTTGCCCGAAAAAAAAAAGCTTCTACAAGTTTAAAATAGCCAACCCGATAATTTTCCGCTGTGCTTGAATTCCAAAAAACAGTGAGAAATTCATTTTCTAGCTTGATGTTCTCATTTTTATTTGAATCTATCATTTTTGGACTGAAGAAAGAATTTTTAATTATTACTGAAAATTATTCATCATAATTTACTAAAGACATTAATAAAGATAGCACATATAACTTTAAATAAACATAATCAAATAATTGAAAAATTCGAATTTGAAGATTTACTTGCATATTTTTCTGATAAAATTATTAGATTTCATTGAAGTTGTCAGCATGTTAGATTGACTATTATCTAACTGCATGATAACAATTGTTCGTGAAAATGGATCAAGCGGTACAAAAAATGATAACTAAAATATATATATATATATGTTAAAACTAATTTAAATCAATTTTTTTACAGTTTTATTGGATTGAAAATTTGGAAAATTAGATTAGAATTTTAGTTAAATTTTTTGATTAACATTTAAATGAAATCATTTAATTAGTTAATTTAATAAAAGAAAAAAATTGTAACTTTGATTCTTACTTCAAAAAGATCAGATTGCTTTAATATTCGTACCACTTGTATTGTTAATAACTTATCATTATGTGTTACAGTAATAAACGGCGATGATACATTGATTTTAACTAATTCCATTGTTGAGAATGTTTTTTGACTAACAATTTGAATTTTGTAACTGTAAGATCAAAACTTTAAAGATGAATCCACTTTCTCTCAATTTCAATTCCTTTATTTAAATAATTATACAAGATAATTAACTGAAGTAACTGGAAGAAATGTAATTCATAAAGTGCTACTAAATGTATTGAAGATATCTAAAATTTTTTAAATTGCTGCATCGTTTTTTATCTGTTTCTTTAAAAAACACTTCTCAAAATTGAATGGAATTTTTCATGAACTGCGCAAATGATGTAAACGCTTCAGTTTTCTTAATCATTACATCAACTCTAATAGTAATACTTTTCCAATTAAAAAATTTTTTTTTTAAATTTCTTAAACAGAAAAATTTTTAAGAAAAAGTATGCTAAAATACCTTTCGATACCATCGGCAAATGAAAAAGTTATGCGAGGTAAGTACATCCCTTTTGTTTTTACCGAGTTATTAACAAACTGAAATTTTTTTTTTTATTTCATTTGTTTGAATTGTTGAAAAATGAGATAAAATTAGAAATTAGAATTAATTAGCTAAAAGAAGAAAAGATAGCAAAATTACCAGTGTTGTGAAAGTCTCATCAGAAATGCTTAACAACCTTTCCTGTTCTTTTAATATTATATGTAAAGCTGACCGTAATCTAAAATTGATCACTTTAATATTATTTTGTAATTTCTTCCTTCATTTTTTTGAAGTATTTTTTTTTAAATTACTTTTTGAAGTCAGTGATAACAAAAATGCTTTAAAACACACATAGTATGTAGGTAGTAATATCTTTGTTATTTTTAATTTTTAGCATTCTGATTATTGTTAGGCAAATTTAAGTGAGTGGTTAATAAATGATCAATAATCTGAGCTTATCACCTTAACATATATATAATCATCTTCAATTAGTGAATCATTTGAGCTTATCACCTTAGCATATAATCATCCATAACATGACGTTTACTGGTACCCGTAATTGCATCATGATGTATACTAAGTGCTAGATTCCTTCGTGCAATCTCCACATCACTGTTAAGATAAATCCCAATTGCGACACTTAATAAATCCACCAAACGAAGCTCTCTCTTTAATTTGAAAATTAATTTAATTTAGTGAAATATTCGTCTAAAATTCTAGTCTAGTTTTTTTATTTATTATCGTATAAAATGTAAAATTTTAATTAATTAAAAAAATTGAAATTATTTCACTTGAATAATTCTTTCGAAGCATTTGAAGTATGCTCGATGATTGTAGAAGCCAGTCCAAAATGGTGCATTACTAAATGCATTATCCATGTAAGGAAAGAAATCACCACTAAGTATGGAAGCTCGCCTTTTCGCGCTTCCTTTCAGTGATTTGAAATAATCCGCTACCGTACCAAATTGCACCTTAAAATTTGATTAACTTCATAATATTTGACTGAACTGATCAATGTTAACAGTAATAGTAATAACAATAAACAAAAATCATGCTAATAATAATCTTAACAATAACAGTAATGATAATCATCCTAGCAACAATAATAGTAACTAATTAGCAATTCAATTAGTAAGATAATTTACCTATCTTTTTGCTCACTTTTGTTTTTACTAAATAACGATGCTGCGCAAACAAATTTAATATTTTAAAATGATTATTTGCGCTAAAAAATTAACCCTCATGTTAAAGCGATCATAATTTCGATTAATATATTTGAATAGCGCACTGTAAACACGATGAACAATTTTCAAGTCATCAGAGTCTGAATAGAGGAAATCATCGCCTGCAGCTACTAATACTGCTTCTGAATTGTAAAATGTTTGTAATGAGCGATACTGATTTGCCATTCGCTCACCACTGCAAAAATTATTTCATTGTTGAATTGATTTCTGTTTGATTCAACTCTAACTGTACTGACTGTAACAAGTAAAAGTGAAGAAAACGATAAGTGATAAAGAACAAAAATGTACTATAAAGCAATTTTTTGCACATTATCAACTTTTGCCCGTTCCATACAGCTTGACCGAGATGTCTTAGAAACATCGAACTGGCAACAAATCATTTCATCCGTTCCGCAAGCACTAGTTACTGTGTAATATGCATTTGGCAATACATTAACAAGTGGAGCCCAATGAAGTTGCTGCAGTTTTTAATAAATGAGACATTAATGAATCGAAGTATTATTAAGTTGCAATTATATGAGAAAGTCAATTAATTTGTATTAATAAAATATAATATATTAACAAATTAATATATAATAATATATAAAATTACTAATATATTAGTAAAATAATATTAATATATTAATAAAATAATATTAATCATCTACCTAATTAACTAATACTTAATCATCTGTTTGAATTTTTTTCATTCTCTTTAATATTTATACCCATTTTAATCATTTCATCCTTCTATTCTCATTTGGGAATGACGCAAAAGAAAAAAGCAAAAAAAGTTCTCTACCGAATCCCAATTTTGCGCCCAACGGAAATGTAGCTGATGATGTTGCTTCAATATATTTTTGATATTTGAATTAATTCGACCGATTACCATTTGATTAATTCCGGCTAATGTCATCAGATATGGCATCATAAGTCCATGACCAAATGGATCAACTGACCTGCATTCCCACTTATTTATTCTTTATAATGTTGCATTTCTTTCATTTGATTAATGACATTATTTTCAAAAAATGTAATTCAAGTATATAATTAAATGTTTAATTAATGTGCAATTAGAAATAGCATTTATGACATTTTTGACATATAAATTTTTTAGGCCAACGGAAATATTGCTCTTGTGGTATTGAAACAACATTCGTTTGTATTGTTATATAAAAAAAAATTATTTATTTAGAGTAGCAATTAATAGCTAAAGGTAATTACTTTTTTCTGTAATTTTTTAAAATAATAATTATTGATAGCAGAGAAGAAAAATTTTCAAAAAGCTCGTATTGATGCAAAAATGTTATAATTAGTTTAAAAATGAAAACACCATGATGTTATTGGTGTAATGTTTAATATTTCGTGTACATATTGATGTCCAACGATGATATTCTCGATTGCTTCCCAAAAATATGGAGTTGCTTCATCATTCATTACCCAATGGCCTCCACTAATTTCCAAATGACCTTCATCTATTAAGCTACAAAACAGAAGAAAATGATAAATTTGGTTGATAAATTAAACATTGAACATATCTATCATTTCTTTACATTCATTTCCTTTTTCTTTTTTCTTTTTTGTTATAAAGTTAACCTTTTAAAATAATTCCTATAAGTAGTATTAGCTTCTGACCACCATCGTTCTAAGAATGACATTTCAGACCAAATGAATCGTAGCTTAGGATATTTTCTGAGTGAATTTACAATATTGTTTAAAATTTTTCGAACCTGAAACATATATATATATATATAATTAAAATCTCAAATAAAACCACTATTGCCGAAAAATTAAATAAATCTGATTTTTTAAATTGAATTTTGAAGTAACTTGAGAATTTCTATTTTTTGCTAAAGCAATAAAACCATTATAATATTATGAGTGAGTATAATTAATTAATTTATAATGCAAGAGTTATAATTTTAAAACAATACCGGATGATCTGAAGTACTGTAATATTCTTCAAATGTATACAACCATCCGGGATCAACATGTGAGTGCAGAACGACGAATACATTTAAATGTTTTGGAGCGTTTTGTTTATTTTGTATTAATTGAATACTATGCCCTTTGACCTAATAACATTTTTACTAGGAATTGAAAGTATATAACAAAAATTTTCTTCATTTAATTACATATATACTCCTCAATTCTCATAATTCTTGATTTTCTTATTCCGTAAATGATTTTTTTTTAAAAAGTTTTACTCAAATATTTTTTTTCAATTTTTTGATTGGAATTTGAATTAAGGAAGCAAATAGCAGCTTGTAAATATTCAAATATGAAATTTTCTAAATGACTTTTTTCCATTCGTACATCTATTTCAATAATAGCATTGCTTAATCGTTGAAATGTAGCGCATATGTTGCTTTGTCTTTCCGCTGATCTTATCCATATATCACTGCCATTTATTTCCCTATACTGAAAGTAAAATTTTTCAGAAATACATTTTATTTTTAAAATTTAACAGTGCACTTCTACTTAGACTTTTTTATGAGAATTTTCGAAAAAAATTTTTTTCAAACGTTTCTTTGTACTAAATTAAAAAAAAAAAGGAAAAAAGAAATTCGTTGATAGTTTTTAACTAAAAAAAAAAGGAAAAAAGAAATTCGTTAATAGCTTTTTAACTAACCATCATTAACGATAAATAATCAGATATAAATTCCCCACTTAGAAATATAGTTAGTGTTCCAAATGCAGTTATTAGGAGTACCACATGTAGCTTCAACATTTAAAAAATAGAAAGAAAAAAACCAAAGGAGCCAATTAGTCTGAAATTTTGTTTCAAATATACAATCGTTTTATTTCATGTAATAATTTTATTATTTTACTAGCATCTCATATTCTTAATTACAATCAGATATATTCGTAATACAAACAATAATTGATTCATTATCAAATTATAATTGCGAAAGGATAAAATTTCAAATTTCTATATTTATACTGAAACAATAATGCTCAAAATTTATCGACAAACCAATTTCATTTTTAATTTGCTTAACAAATTTGTACAAAATTTCTTTTTGTTCTAACCAGATGTGATAGCACATTTTGCAGATATTTTAAACCGAGAGGTAAAAAAAAAATGAAAATAATAATTTTGACAAGTATATTTGAAATTGAATATTAAATAAGAGACAAAAGTGATTATAGATTAAATCAGTAAGAAAAAAATGAATTGAAATTTAATTCGAATAAATCCTTAGTGAATTAACATTGTTGTATTGCAGCGATCATCATCATCTGTACAATCGATCATCAGTTGCTGCTAGTCTCCAATCGGTTAGTTTGTAAAGATTTTTTTGTATTTCAAAGGAATGAATGTATATCATTTATATAGATGTCACTATATGTTGATATACTCATGTTTTATTCATATCAATGATATTTAAACAAAATCAAATCATAAGGAAAAAATTCTATTATAGTACAAATATTATCACTATATCACTTTTATAAAAACTAATTTATTTTTATTAAATACAACAACAACAGCAATAGCAAATGAACTAATAAAATTGAAGTTTTTTATAAAACTTTACAACTTGATCTATTTTCATTAAAAAATAACAAAAACGAAAAAGTAGAGGTGAAGGAAAACATTTCATAGTTTAACTTATTTCACTAAATAAATAACAAAAAAATAGACTAATGAAAAAACAAAATGTCAAATACATATAGCACATTGTTACTGAAATCGCTCTTTACTAATTTTATTGTATTACAAATATTATTAGTATATCATTTTAATAACAATTAATTTATTTTTGTTAAATACAATAACAATATGAAAATAGGTCGATAAAAAGATAAGGTGTAAAACCAGATAATTTTGATTGCAGTCACTAAATACAGTTAATTAGGCAAGCTAAAAAAAGAGACTTATTTGCAGGATTGATCGTAAATAAATTAAATTACGAAAGTAAAATTAATATTATAACTAATAGCTGATATTAATTACATCCGTTAATTGGTTAGAAATATGTTCAATAAAATATGTGAATTTACAAACAGTGATGCAACCAACATAAAGATAAAATTGTTAGAGAAATAAGTGAAATGAGATAAAATGTTTGTTTAATTGAAGTAAACATTGCTGTCACTTCCTGTCAACAACGTACCGCTAATAGTCTCAATGATAATTAAAATGTTAAGAGGATAAAAATATTACAAATTCAGGATTAAAATGAATAGAAATATTTCAACTACTAAATGAAATGATCGGACACAATGAAATTTATAAAATAAAAAAATTAATACTAAATGAAAAGATTGTATCGAACGAAGAAATAAAACAGGGATCAAAATGAGGTCTAATTTGAGAAGTATTAGAATATCTTTCAAAATCAGATAAGACAGAAAGGGATGAATTTTGACTGATACAAAACATACCGATGTAGATTATTTCCTCCAAGACGGTATGTTACTAATCTTTATAGAAATATGAAATAAAAATTAAAAAAAATAAAACTTCAAAATCTTAAGTTATATCTTTTATCAAAATAAATAAATAAATAAATAAAAATCACTTGGTTAAAATATATACATGTATTAATTTCGCAATAATTTCAAAAATTATACAAAAAAAATTTTTTTTATAAAATCAAAAATTTGATCAAACATTTTGAAATCAGAAATCAGACCAATTGATGACTGGTAATATCAATAAAAGATTAGAAATATGAGAGCACTGCATTGTATGGGGATGGTAGGTGACAAAAATAAAAAAAATCAAAAAAAAGCAAATGATTGTATTGAAATAAAAAAATAAATAAATGAAGAAAATAGTGTGGAAAAACTATTTGGCCGATCAAGTAAGGTGATTACATTGACTTAATAAAATGCTTTTTTTAAAACATAGCATTGTCTAGTAAGAGAGAAAAGGAAAGAAAACAGCACTGACAATTTAAAATAGTTTATAATAAATTGATTGATGAAGTTAAACTAATTAAGTGTATTTTACCAGAAATGAAATTTCAAATAAAGCAAAAAGACCTTATCATAGATCATATTATTGATCATGGATTAAACGTAGAATGATTTGATCAATCAATTTTAATTAAATGGAGTTAAAACAATTCTAGAATTTTCCTGCAGATTACTTTACAGTGTAGTCATACTGTTATTTCATAACAAAAATTGGACTTATATGTGTTGCTTTACCAATAATTTGCTGTTAAAAAAATTAAAAAAACAATAGAAATGATTTTTAATAGTCATGTAATCCCTAAAATTTTGAAAAATTGATCCAAAAATGAACAGATAGTCAGAAAGAAATTTTAATAAAACTCTTTGATATAAAATGAAACAAAACAATCGCAAATGGAAATTAACAAATCTATTTAATATGTTTTGTGAAGTGATTATATATCTTTTTATTGTTATTATTATTTATATTATTATTAGCTTTATTATTGCTATTATTCTGAATATTTCATTCCTTCACCACAATGTATTGTGCGAATGTTACCATTACATATTATTATTTCACTAGTGCTATCATATACAGTTGCTTCTAATCATAGATAAAAAAGTGATACACTGATTATCACTATCATTATTAAATAATTATAGTGCTGCTTTATGTATTGCTAATTTATTTCAATATATTTCTCTTAAAACATTCGAACAAACATTTATTTAAAAAATTGTGTAAGTCATTACTTTTTACATGTGTAATTAAAAAATGACTATTAAAATAAACTGATAAAAAAATTTTTGAAACAAATTGTTAACTTATAAAGTTTAAAGAGGGAAACTAAAATTGTTTTGAATAATTTCGATAGTATTTTTAAAGATCCAAAAAATATATATCAGAAAATTTGTTGTGCTATATAGAAATATATGATAAAATCAATATATTTCTCTGAAACAGCTCAACATTTGAAATTTTATTGTATTGACGCATAATTTTCAACGCTTATATGAGGCAAACAATCAAAATATGTATTCAGCTGTACAGTTAATATGCCACTGATAAATTTAATCTAAAATATATTTTAAAAATATATTTTCTATATCATAGAAATTGTTTACTTAAAATTACTAACCAATGTATTGCAGTATTAAATTCATTTTGTATGCATTTCATTGATGCAAGCAAAATGAGAGAAATAAATAATACAGGAAAATGTTACCAATTTTTAATTATCAAGTTTTAATATAAAATTTATTGAAGAAATTAATTTGAAAATATTAAAATTTGAATAGTCATGGATTTTAAGTAAGTTATTATTGGCGTAATACCTTAATTATACTCACTAATAAATATCACCAGTATTAACAGTGATTTTGTAGGAAAAATGATTGTTTTATTGATGATTATTAATTTTAATGAATCAAAATTAATATTTTGCAGTACTTAGCGCCGAGTTTATAAATTTTTATGAAATCCTATTTTCAATCTAAATTAAAGTCTATAGCAATTTTTTAATCATATTGGTTAAAAAATTGTAAAAAAATTAATGGCAATGTTAAATTTTTATGTTAAAAATTTATATTAAAATTAATTATTGCAGTCGATATTGATGAAAAATTTCTGAATCTTGGATGAAGGCTTAAACTGTGAAATTTTAATTGACTCGAAATATTTCATAATTTGCGCAAATGGCTTGCTTTTTCTTAGTAACATTGATCCTTAGCTAGTAATTAATTATTTAACTGATAATGCAATTTCTCTCAAAATTATCTCATTGTAGCAAAATGACCAGAACTTTTCATTATTGCCTCCATAAAACGGGGTTAAAGGTTAGAGCAAGTAAGCAAAGTATTATTATTTTCTATACTAACGACAGAAAAGCCGAGTGAGGATTCTTTGTCGACTTGTTAACAACTGAAAGAAGAATAAGCAAAAATTTTTATAAGGAGGAATTTTGGTGAATGATAACTGACAACTATATTTATTATTGTTGAATTGATTAAACAGCATTTACATCATATATCGCTTTGATGACAAACAAACATTTTGCATTAATTTGCTATTTTAAAAAAAAAAAAACTTATTTTAAATTTAAATTAAAGGAATTCTCGAACATAAAACGTTTTATTATTACAGTCATATGAAACTATTAATCTATAAAGTTGTTTGTAACATTTTTAAAATTCAAAAATGAAAAATTCATGTTGCTGATTTTTAAAACATGCATGTGCATATATGACGAAGTATTAAATATCTTCCTCCCTCACTCTGTCTTTTTTCCGCTTACTCTCTGTTATTTTTGAATTTGTTAAAAAATTTTTCATAATATTTCTGGTGTTTATTTACCGTATATGCAATAGGTAGCAATTTAAGCTTATCTAAACAATTTGCGCCAACTTTTGCAACATGATTGTAATATAACTATTTGAAAAATATGTAAATTTGATGTTTCTCTATCTTGTACATGTTTTCTTGGAAGGATAAGTTGAAGGAATAAAAACAAATGCTGTTTATTTGAAAGTCTGTTGAAATATATTTATTTACTGAAATTATCTAAAATTAGTTTATTAATTATTAAATATATGCTATATATTATAATTAAGGATTACTGTTTCGCTGTTTAATTAAAATGATTATCGGCATCATTTTTCTCCTCTCTTTTTCAATTATTATTATTATCATTTTTCTATCAGTTATCAACTTATGGATTATCACTTTATCATTGCTAAATTACATCTATATTTTTACTTTTCCAGACTTAGTAACAAAATGAATCCGTTTTTTTCTTCCAGTATATTCAGTTATTTATTTCT